CTATTTGCAACAAAATAGTAAGGCAGAAATGTTATATTTCTCGCTATGGTGTACCTAGGGAAACTACACCACCCACTAGTACTAATAGCAAACACATGTATGCCCCTTACTATGTATCAGGTACTGTTCTAAATGCTTTATATATATTACTTTAGTTATTCCTTACAACAACCCTATGAGGTAAGTGCTGGAATTGTCTACATCTTACAGATTCGTTTTACAGGGGAATTATCTGTATCTTAATTCTAAAACAGAGGAAAGGTTAAGTAGCTTGCTTAAGGTCATACAACTAGGGTGGAGCCAGGATTTGGATTTAGACAGTCTGGCTTTAGAGTCTGTGCTCTTAAGCATTACATTGTGTCTTTTTTTTTTTTTTTGTAACATATCTTTATTGATTTCAGAGAGAGGAAAGGAGGGGGAGAGAGAGATAGAAACATCAATGATGAAAGAGTCATTGATCAGCTGCCTAGCCGGCAACCCAGGCATGTGCCCTGACCAGGAATCAAACTCTGATCTCCTGGATCCTAGGTCGATGCTCAACCACTTAGCCACGCCCAGCAGGGCTGTGTCTTTTTTTAAAATATGTTTTTATTGATTTTAGAGAGGAAGGGAGAGGGAGAAACATTGATGTGAGAGAGAAACATCCATCTGCTGCCTCCTGCATACCCCTGCTGGGGACCAGCGGCAACTAGGGCATGTACCCTGACCCAGAATTGAACTGGTGACTTTTTGGTGCATGGAAGGGTGCTCAGCCAACTGAGGCACACCAGCCAGGGACATTGTGTCTTAATGATATTGTAATCATGAGCTGTTGGAGCCAATTCATCTTGTTTTCATTACTTGCCTAGCCCCTTCTTTCTTTCCCTTGTTACCAGATCCCTGCAACTTCATGCATCTTTCCATAGTTCCACATTCAGTAGAGCCTACTTTACTGTAGAGTTTCCATGCTTCCCAAATCCTTGGGTCAAAATTTCTATTTCCTAAAGCTTAGAGCAAATGACAGTAAGATTCAACCCTCCCATAGGATAGTTTGTTTTGTCCATCTTTTAAAATCTCACCTTATTTTTTATTAATTATTGATGGAATATATATTTTATGTAATTTTTTTCAGAAACTACAGAAAAGTCTAAAGAAAAATACACTTATAATTCCACCACTCAGAGATAACAATTATTAACATTTCGATATGTATTTTTTGAACATTTTATGCATTTGTGTATATAAATATTAGTATATACAGATTTTAAATAAAACTGAAATTATACTGTGTATAAAAAATAAAATACTCATTATAAAAAAATGTAGGAAGACAGAAGAATATAAAATGAAAGCTCCTCTTTATCCCTTCCATGTATAGACCCTTAGCATTTATAGACTTTCTTTTATCTCTGTCATATTGAGTCTTAGTGTACAAACTATTTTGCAGCTTGCTTTTTCATTTAATATATATTGACAGTATGTACATGTATATCATTATGTTTCATTTTTCTTTCCAAACTGCTGCGCAGTATTTCATATTATGTTTATACTATAATTTTTAAAATTTTATTTTTCAGTTACAGTTTACATTCAATATTATTTTGTATTAATTTCTGTAGGCTAGAGATCCATGTATGCTACACATACATCTTGACTATTTCTATAGGTTAAAGACCATAAGAGGAATTATTGGGCTCAGAAATTCACAATTCAAATTTTGATAAATAACTAAAAATTGCCTTCCAAAAAGGCCTTAGCAGTTTACACTTCTATCAACTATATATAGAAGTGCCTACATACATCCATTCTTACTAGAATTGTATATTAACCATATTTTAAATTTTTGCCAATCTGATAAGCCCAAAATAATGACTTGTTTTAATTAATTTTTTTATTGTTAGGTTGAACATTTACAATTTTGTTTATTTTGCATTTTAATTTCTTCTGTGAGTTGCTCATTTTTCCTTTTGGTCATATATCAGGAAAAGGAGTTTTTCACATGCAAATAAGAGCACATTCTACTCAAACTGACTTATTAAAGGTGATTTATTGACACAATGGGAGGATGGGTTTTCAGATATGACTCAATTGGAGCTTTAGTTTCTTTTTCTGAAATTCTTGGCTCTGTCCTCTTTTGGGATCAGCTCTATCCACAGGATAGCTTTTTTCATGTTTACTAACTGCTGTAGCTGGAAGCCTCAGAAGAAAAGATTTGTGTTCCAGAATTCTAGGCAGAAGACTTGAATGTCAGACTGACTACGAATCATTACCAGTGGGCAAGGAAATACATTCAGGGTTGTTTTAGATCTTGATCACCTGGACCAATGATCTTGGCAAAGAGAATGAAATTGTTTTGATTGGTTTAAACCCTGGAGTCATGCTGGATTCAGTCCCATGTAAACCACATGTGGCAACTATATAATGGGGTGAAATGGATATTGGGATGAAAATCACAGATTCCATTATAGAGTGTTTCTCCTATAATTTGTAAAAGTTCTTTATGGAATATGGGTATTAACCCTTTGTGTGTTTTACATGTTACAAATATTTTCTCTGAATCTGTGGCTCTTTTAACTTTTAGTGTCTTTTGCTTTGTAGATACTGTAAATGTGTATCTAATCAGATCCATTAGTTATTCTTTTCTATGATGACCTCTTGGTTCTATTCCATGTTGTTGGAAGCCTTTCCCCCATCTCAGATTATAAAGAATATTCTCTGATATCGTCTTCTAGTACTTTTATAGTTTAAAATAGATAGATAAATATTTACATTAATCCATCTGAAATTTATTTGTGCTTATGGTGTGAGTTATGGACCAAATGGTTAGCCATTCCCCCAACAAATCTATTGAATAATTCCTCTTTCTCTCATTTATTCGAAATGTTATCTTATTATACACTAAATTGTCATACACATGAGTATGCTTCTGAACTTGCTACATCCTGTTCTGTTGACTAGTTTCATTTATTCCTGTGCCAGAATTGAACTGCTGAATTACTGGTATTTTATAAAGTTTTAATATCTATTAGAGCAAAGTCCCCCTTTTTCTTTATCATTATCAATATTTTCTTGACTATTTTCATGAATTTTACTTCATGATGAACTTTACTTAAGGATATTTGTATATCAGACTCATGTGGCATCATATGTAGCTCCTGGAAACAGTGGTGCCTATCTCATGGGCCAATTTGTGTCTTGCTGGCCAGAGTCCCTTGAATATCCTTAGGCTGGTGAGCCTAAAGCTTGGATTCCTTCATCTCTTTCCAATTCACATATTTGGAAAAATGTGATTTTTTTTTCTTTTTTTAAATCCTTACCTGAGGATATTTTTTTCCATTGCTTTTTAGAGAGAGTGGAAGGGAGAGAAACACTGATGTGAGAGAGACACATTGATTGGCTGCCTTCCGACCAGGGCCAGGGATAGAGCCTGTAACAGAGGTACTACGTGCCCTTGGCCGAAATTGAATCCGAGAGCCTTCAGTCCGCAGGCTGATGTTCTAGCCACTGAGCCAAAGTGACTAGGGCTCTTTTTTGCAGCCACAGGGCATCCTCTTTTTAGTCAATAAAGACCTAAGAGAAGTTAAACAAGGCTTCTATGTTATCTATTGTATTTGTGTATAAATTCCTCCCAAATTTAGCAGCTTAAAACAATAAAAATTTATTTCATACAATTTTTGGGGGCAACTTAACTGCGTTGTTCTGACTTAGAGTTTCTCATGATGTTGTAGTCAGAAAGTTGGCCAGGGCTGTCATCATCTGAAAGCTTGCCTGTGCTAGAGGATCCACTTCCAAGCTCACCCACATGGCTGTTGGCAGGAGGCAGCAGCTCCTTACCACGTGAGCCTCTTCATAGGGCTGGCTCACGAGGAGACATGCCAGCTGGCTTTCCTCAGAGTGAATGATCTAAGAGAGAGACCAAGACCGAAACTGCAGCATTTCTTATAGCCTAATAATCTCAGAAGTGGCATATCATCACTTCTGACATAATTCTTTTGTTTACACAGATCAACTGGTATAGTGTGGGAGGTGGCTGTACAAGGGTTGAATTCTAAAATGTGGAGATTATTTTACTAAGGGCTATCTTAGAGGCTGGCTCCTACAACCTTCTTAGGCAAATCTTGCCATTTTATTCTTATCTTTTTTTTTTTTTAGGTTAAAACATGTTTCAAAATTGAGAAATGTATGATGGCAAGTCTTTCTTACACCTGGTCCCCGAGTTACTCAGTTTCCTTCCTTCCAACCATCCTTTATTTTAACATCTTCTACTTCCGGGGATGTTTTATACAGATACAAAGAAATGTATATATTATTTTTCGTATTTTTGACATGAATGATAGCGGCTCTACACACTATTTTCCACCTTTTTTCACTTAATTCAGGTCAGAAATCACTCCCATATTGGCGCATAATCATTTCCTTTTCTTTTACAGCTGGATATTTCCTTGGGTGATTGCAGCATGGTTTGCTTAACTAATTCCCTATTAGGTGGTTGTTTTAATCTTTTGCTATTACAAACACTGGCAACATAGGTCATATCACATGCGTGTAAGTTACATCCATGAAGTAAATTCATGGAAGTGGAATTGCTGGATCAAAAGTTAGGTGCAGTTGTAGTTTTGACAGTTAATATCCAAATTGCCTTCCATTGACTTTGCACCAAATTGCACAGTATATGAGAAAGCCTGTTTGTGTATACTTGTACCACACAATATATATTAAACCTTTGAGTCTTTATCCATTTGATGATGATTATCAAATATTGTATCTGTCTGTGGTTTTAATTTGCATTTCTGTTATGAGGTTGGACATCTTTTCAAATATCTAAGAGCCATTTGTATTTCCATTTTTGTGAACAGTCTGTTCAGTATCCTTTGTCCATTTTTTTCTTAATGATTGTAGGAACTCATTTTTAGGAATTTAGGGAAGTGGTTAATTATTTTAAATATATAAATATATAAATATATAAATATATAAATATATAAATATATAAATATATAAATATATAAATATATATATATATACTTTTTTTTTTTTAACAGAGATCACTCTTTTAGTGAATATGTTACACAGAAGCTTTAGTCAAAAAGACCAAAGCCCATGTCACCATCAGACTCCTCAGATTGTTCTTTCTTTGCTTCCACTTTCTTCTCCTTAGCTGGGGCAGCAGTGGTGGAGGGGGCAGGACCTTCTGCTGGTGTAGCACTAGCTGCTGGGGCAAATCCACCAGCCCCTATATTGCAGATGAGGCTCCCAGTGTTGACATTGGCCAGAGCCTTTGCAAACAAGCCTGGCCAGAAAGGTTCAACATTTACACCAGCTGCTTTAATGAAGGCGTTGACCTTATCTTCCATCACTGTCACCTCATCATTGTACAGGATAAGGGCCGAGTAGATACAGGCGAGCTCCGAGGCCATGGTGTGGGCGAGTGGTGGGCAAGTGCTTCCAGGAGCGGTGCTAGTCGCCGGATGAAGTGAGGGCCTCACCCCAATGAGGCCTTAGCTTCCTCGGAAGAACCGAACACCTTACCAGCAGCTGGGGAAAGGGGCTTAAATATTTTTTAATGTGTAGGGGTTTTATATTTTATACATTTTATTATTATTTTGAGACCATGTCAAGCTTATATATATAAAAGTAGCAAGTACAGGACATGAACTTTTTTCCTAGTAGTTGAGAGTAAGTTGCTGACGTTATAGCACATTGTGTATGAATACTTTAGTGTGTATTATCGTAAAATACAAATATTCCACAAGGCATTCTATATATTCACAATACAAACTTCAAAATCAGGAAGTTAACATTGGTGGCTTCTGCCTCTTACCAGCTGTGGACCTTTGCACAAGTCACTCAGTCCCTGTAAGCCTTGGTTTTCTCATCTCACTTCTTACAGAGGGGTACTAATACTGTCCACGTCACAGGTTGTTATGAGGACTAGATGAGTTAGCACTTAGGATCGTGATTTGCACACTATGGAAGCGGTATCAATGTGGTTATAATAGAGGAAGGATAGCTGGTAACAGGTTAAGTTTTACAGCATTTTATGGCAGTCACCGGTGAGGCTGTCAGAGGCCATGGACTGCAGCATGAGCTACGCGTCCTTCAGATAACCCAGGATGTGTTCTGTCCTTTTCAGGTTTCAAAATGACTTCCATCTTGACGTCCACTTTTAAAAACCTCCCCAGTGCATCGATATGGGCCCTCAGAGTTTGTAAGTTTAATTTGTCTTTCTTTTTTAACATTAGATTTGGATTTATAAGCATCTTACATAGGCATTGAATTGTATTGCCTTTTGTAAACACTTTATTTTGTCTTCCAGCTGTAAGACCTCTGAGCTGTTCTTCCCAGCTACAAGCTGCCCCAGGTACAGTCATTTGTAAAATAAACATTTCTGATATAAATGTTAAATTCCAGATTTGTGAATTCTGAATAAAAACCAAAACGAATTTGCTAGATTTTCTCCTTTTATGAGCAACATGAATATCACTACTGCCTTTAAATTAAAATAATATAAGATCAATCAATAATGATATTACATGGTGTAGGGTTGGGCTTGAGGATGTTGAGAGGAGGCTGCTTTCTGCGATTTGGAGCCTGGAGGAGTTATGGAGGTTCCATGAACCTTGCTGGTTAGTTTCTTCACCCACTGGCTGGCAGTCCTGGAGATGATTAGCTAACACTCTTGAGACTGTTGTAGAGCCAAAAGTTAACATTTTAAATCTGCAGTTAGTGATAGGCTTCTCTATTAATGGATATCTTCTTGTCCCAAATACAAGAGGACCCATTCCTGAAATAAGGGTAACTGGGAAACCAGTTAATAAAAGAAGATTGGTCAATATGAAATGAAAAAGAAAATTTGTTGATTATACATGGTCATTTAGACCCTTGGTCAACCCAGTGAGTTAGACTTCTTCACCATTGAATACATACTTTTGCAGAACCTGCTGTAGGTGTGCATCTTCAGTGGCCAATGCTAAAAAATATCCTGACAAATTCATACCATTATTCTTCTTGCCAGGTCCTGTATTAACCTTTGACTTCTGATTTTGGTTTTATTATGGTATTTCTACCTGGATGATAACTTAATAGAAAAAGCACCTTACCAGAATTCAGAAGACCTCTAACTCTGTTTCAGTTCTACGACTTTCTGGGTAGTGTGGCCTTGAACAGATCACTTTACTTCCTTGTGCTTTAGTTTCTTTGTCTAAAAAAACAATAATTCTAGTTTTGTTAACCTGACCAAGTCTCACTCATTATTTTAGCAGATGTCTGATGTTCCTCAGCATGTTTTTAAGGTAGTGATTGCTTGTTCAAAATGTAAACAGCAAAAAAATCAAAATAGAATAGAACTAATGTTTCATTTAGTTTGAATCCAGTTACTAAAGTCCATTATCAGCTTTTGGACAGACTGGTAAACTGTAAGTCAAGTTATGGGGCAGCAAAAATCCTCCTTCTTCCTCATGGCATCCTTTCGACTAATTGGCATTTCTCTCTACGTTTCTTTGTTTAGATTCCTAACAGAAAGATTCTGACTGGCACTGCTTATCACTTATAGGTAGATGGCATGGGTTACTGGTTGACTACTCTGTGGATTGACTTTTAGTGGTCCATTATCCATTCTGAATCTAATCAACTTTGGCTATGGACTTAGGGACGTGGTGTTTATGGCTGTCCCTGGCAGGGACTATAAGCACAGCAGTGCCCTTTAGAGGGGACTGGATGGATGAGCAGGTACTTCAAAATATGTTTCTGATTTTCTTCTGTATTCTAACTGCAAATGTCTCATGGCTATCCCATCGACACCTCACTTTTCTTCAGAGCTTTAGTTTTGCATCCTTAGCTACCTGTCAAGTGGACACATCCACCTGAATGTCTCTCCATCACCTTAAAGGTAGCATGTTTAAGCATAAAGTCATTTTTCTTCCAAAACCAGTTCTTACTGTGTGTAGAGTAGCCAGGTTTTCTCAGTCTCTAAGATTTCTTTACAACCCTGTTTTCCTTTCTTTCTATATCTGGTTGTTCATCAAGATACCTTCCTTTATAAAATCTCTTGTATTGACCCCTACTTTCCATTCACATTGATACTGCTTTTATCCTGGCCTTTAGCACCCTGTGCTTGAGTTCACAGTCTCCTCACTCATTTTCCTGTTGCCTTTATCTCCCTTACGAACACATCTCCATTAAAAGAATCTTTATACCCCATTTTATCAGAACCCTTAGCTTTAACTACTGTTTCCTTCAAGTTGGTTGTAGATATTTATCATAAATAGTTCTCTGTGACATTAGTGGATATGGTAAAATGATTGTTAAAATTTTATTCCCAGTAATTTAGGATTTTTCTTTATCTCTGATAATGAAGGAGTGATGAAAGCAGATGAATTTCAACACAACAAAAAGAAAACAGTGAGATAGATTTAGAATAACACAGAAAGCTCTTCTATAATGTTAAGTCATAAAGTATGTATAATACACAATATGTACATATACATGCATTAAAAGACAAAAGTTTGAAAGTATATATATACACCACGTTAACAGTATTTACCTCAGGGAAGGAAATAATTTGTCAGAGGAGGGTATAAACAATTTTTACTCCCCATATTTCAGTATCGTTTACTTTTTTTACCACGAACAAATATTCATGTTTTATTTTTTTAATTAAAAAATTAGAGGAAGGTTACTATTTTGATGTTAGAAAATAATTAGACAAATCGAGCCAAACAGAATCAGGAAGCATTTAGGTTTTTGGAGAGTGACGATAGTCATCAACCAAATGGCCTTTATTTCTACATAGAAAAGCAAGAATATTAAGCTATGTAAAGTGAAACAACATCAGTTATTTTGACTTTTAATATTAAGAACAGGATTATGTGTCAAATTGGTTGCTGTCAGTGTTATAGATTGTCAAACATTTGATAAAAAGAAACAAGTTTATTAATGATATAAATACCCTCATCATTAGGTATAATCACTATATTTACCTTAAATATTATTTGGAAACTTACAACTTAGTTTTTTAGCCTTCACACACACACACACACACACACACACACACACACACACACAC